CCTTCCCACGCTCCTGCTGGGGGCTAAAGAAATGCTTATCTCTCTGAGCGCAGCCTTCATCAAACCATTCCATCACAGGTGGAAACAATTTTATGGAAATAAACAAATGGTGGGATTGGCCAGAAGATAGATCTGAAGCTATCTCTGAAAGTTTAGGTAACTTCATTAGTTCAGCAAGGATTTCTGACACTTACATATGTGACAGCAAGAAAGACACTTATTTGTCTATCCTAAATTATATTGCTAACATAAAAAATGCTTGGAGCAGCCAGGAGATTTTATTTATTTATTTATATATCACATTTATATAGCCTCCCATCTCATACAAAGCAACTCTAGGTGGTGTACAACAATTTTTATGTGAAAGGACTACGGATTCATCTGACCTGGTACTCAAAGCAAATTCCTAGGTTCAATTCTTAAGTTGTGATTTTTTTTCCGCCACCAGGTCCTCGTTAGTGAAGCTCTTTTAAAAAAAATAAATAAATAATAATAATAAGGAAGATCCTGACAGCATGAAAGATGCTGTCTTAAAGACCTTTTTGTAGATTTGTATCCACAGACCTCTTCCTCCAGTTATGGACCAAAATTCAACTGTATCCTTGAATTTCTGGCTATAGACCCAGCAGTCATGTTATGCTGTCTGCTGTCTGCTGTCTAGGCTACTGTCTCTGTCTGCAACAAATTATTGACAATTCATTAAAGTTTATTAAATACCTAAGCAGCATTTATGCACTTCCTCCCATTGCTCACTGGAGGAGTCACCAAACCATCTCACAGACCACTGCAAAGATAGTTAGTGAATCATGTTTTGATTTGTTTCATTTTCAAACCTGAGAAGTTACCAAGGAAAACTGGCTGGCTAACACTCATGGGATGCTTGGAATGACAATTTATGTCGAGCAAAGCTGAGACTATGATTTTTATAGCACATTTGAAATTTGGAGGATTTTGTACATTTCTGTCTGATGCATTCAGAGGTTGTGAGAGTAACTGGAGAAATTACAGAAAAATGGCTTGGATCCATTTCATATTTATCCTTTATTTGTTTGAATCATGCTGTGTTTGAATCATCAATACTAATTTCAATTTGTCTTGGCCTGTTAAATAACAAAATGTGCTTGTCATTTGAAATCATTGGGCATTAAGCCTATCATAAGATAGGCTTCCCCAGTTAGATGCCCTCAATACCTGTTGAACTATCATTCCCAGAATTCCTAGACAATATGGCTACAAGCAATGCCGGGGAGAAAATCTAGGTTGAAACAGAGCCTGGATTGAAGTCCACCTGTGCAATATTCCTTATATGTGCCTTCTGGATGCTAGTGAAGAAAGCTAAAAATATAAACACAGTACAAAAAGTGATGCTTGAGAGATTCTTTTCTTTACTGTAGATCATGAAATCTTGGTTTCTCCTTACTTCCTTTATTGGCAGAAAAGGAGGGAGCTGAAAACAGCTATATAAGACCTCTTTCTGATATCAAGCAATGAAAGTACAGAATCCAAATGATGATTTCAACTTTCAAAGCATAATTTCAATCCATCTTGTAGTACATAAGCATGAACTAGCACAATTTGAAAAGTTTCCTTAACTATTTAGATCTTACCTTATTTCCAGGATATCCAGGGATCCCCTGAATTCCATCTTCCCCAAAACATTTGCAGCAAACTTTACAGCATTCTCGTTCTATAATAGTGTCCTACAAAAAAATCAATGCAAACCAGTCATTGTTACAATATTCTTAACTAAAAACTGACTTGGCTATCCTTTTATTTTTCATTCTGCTATGAAGAAACTTACAAGTGCTCTTCTCAATGTGCTTGGGAGTTCGGGATTTCCATAGTACAAAGGCTCCTGATAACCAAATCCTCTACCAAACTCAAGTTCTTGCAGTTTACGATATTCTGGAAAATGTTCTAATCCAATAATCAAGAATGCATTTAGTCCTGAAAAATAAAGGAAGCAGCTACTTGATTTTCTAAATTAGACATGCAGTTATATAGGTTGGATTTACCTCTTTTTTTTTTCAAGCCTGGAAAGAAGAAGAGGCGGAGATATCTGTGTCATCCATAATGCATTCAAAGCAGAATTTCCTGGATGCTTAAAGATTATACTGGAAAATGACTTAGAACCATCAGTTATGTTAACGGCTGTTACATTATGAAATGAATGTATTTGTAGGTAACAGTAAGCAAACAATCTAAAGAAAAATGAGGACAAGCAGCATGTTCTCATTTTTCTTCTTCTTTCAAGTAAGCAGGTAAACAAACAAAGCAGGTTCATCAATGTGTGAAGGTCCAACTCAGATCAAGGGACAAGCTATTGTACTAAATAAATCAGTGGTGTCCCTCTGCTTTAAAACTAAGAGCTGTTGGTTTGTGAATCCTAGATTATTTAGGTGCAATGACCTCATTTAGCTGCAGGCTTAGAGTAGGGACAGAAAAGTATTTTGCTACAGTTTTTGCAGGGGAAATTTTTGGATTTTTTTGGTCATAATATTTGGATGACTAGTAGTCAGAATGAAATATAGCTAACATTCACCCTTCCCCAGGGGGAAAAAAATCCAGTTCCCTCTTGAAAGTATTTTGATGTATTTTTCTTTTGCTTTCTTTTCACATGAAAAGCACTTGGTGCATTCACATCCATGTTAGGTTCCCCACAATGGTTGATTCTCCCTTGCAGAAATCGGAGGTGACATCACGCTCCAAGGATGCTGATGGAGATGCTGGTCTGAATGAGGAGATGAGCCCAGCAGCAGCTCATGCAACTTGGCTTTGCTTTTTGGGGATCCCTACTTCCCACTTTCACTCCACATTTTTAATGAATATGCTTTGCATAGGATTTTACTTTGTACTTTTTATTGCTTTTTAATATTTTCATACCGCAAACTGCGATGGGCCATGACCCTGTAGAAAGCAGTATAAAAATCTTACGATGATCATCATAATCAGCTAGGCCCATGAATATTTTTGAAAAGGATTCCATCATGGAAATGGCCTCTGTGCTTAACTGTTACATATGCATCTGGAAAAATAAGTTTAGGTCTAATGTATTTATTATAAATATGTGAAGGACAAATGTCAACGGATAAAGGTGGAATCTAATAATAGGCTTCTTGTATAAAGGGATCTAATTATAGACACTGAGATGTTTTCAACATCTACTAAGGAGGGTTGTATGGTCCTGGAACACATTTGGAGGGTACGATTGTGGGGGAGGGCTACAAGGGGGAGGGTACACCCCAGTTCTTTCAGAATAAGCTGCTTTCAGTAATGAAAGCAAACAATCTGGTTTCATCTTAAAGAGGTAGAAACAAATGAGTTCACTAATTCACTAGGTGATCTTGAACTCTTTGCCTCTCAAAATAAATTGGAACAGCCAGTGGAGAAAGACTTTGGGAACTAGAATCTAAGATCGAGAAAGTCAAAGTTCTTCCTGATATGGGGTTTTATGTTTATTAATAATATTAATATAATTAGGCTTATAATTTAAACAGAACCTACAAAATGACTTCAGAGAACTTATTCTCTGCCTCCACCTGTACATGGATTTTACCAACTTGAATCTATTCAGCTTGGCCCAGTCACCACACTAGGGATGGATCTTTCTATTCAGTAATTTCCTAGCATGACTGCAGATGATGTTTTTTCAGCCTGAGATATTTTGAAAGCTGAGATACAATACTGTGTGTATATGTGTTCCTAATTTTCTAGGAAGTGAGGAGGCTGTCAGGATCAGCTGTCTCTTTAACAGATGCTGAGCATATTTGGCTAAAATTAAAAAACCTTCAGCACAGCTGGGAAAATACAACATTCTTTATGTCCAATGCGTTTTGAGATAAATTCTTTCTTAGGGGATATCAATTTTACAGATAATCAAGGCAGTTGGAACCTGTTCTTTTCTGATAGTTATTCAGAAACAGCTCTTTGCTACTTTTTAAAATAGCTGATTGGCTTCCCTCCTTCTTTTGTTGTGAGTCTTCATGGCACACAAGATGTCAACATGTTTTAGAGTACCTAGGTATTTTTTCATTGACATTTCAGAACATCATCTCCAGCAACATATTGGATGCCCTGTGTTTCTTCTTAAGAACTGGACTTATCATGCATCAAAGGACTGTAGTCCATCAAATTTTCTGCCAAAAAAGATGTTGTTATCCTCTAAGACACTGTGTTTGATTATTTGTGTTGCTACAGAATTATATTCCTCTGGGTAATATTTCAAAGTGACCCATGGTTTTAAAATGCTGTTTGATAACCCCATGACAAAGTTATCACAGTGGGTTCTGTCTTCATCCTAGAAAACTATACAAATTGGTGGTATTTACGCATTACCTCCAAGAGGGATGAAAATACAATATTGTATAATTTTGTTATAAGTAAAGAAAAAAAGAGGGATAAGCAAGGCAGGCTCCAAAAAAATTACATTTTTTTTCCTTTGAAATCTATCCTGCAAATAACCATGTATTAAAATGCAAAGATCTTTTTTATTGTCCAAATACCTTGTCTACGAAGAGCATCCACTGTAGTTTTAAGCATGTCTATCTTATCATCGGGTCCATCAGAAAACACAAGAAGAACCTGTGATTGAACAGTAGCAAATGAGGATGGCATATGGCATAGCTGGGCTTAGCAGGAAAGCCCAGCATAGGGGGCTCTGGCACATCAAAAAGTTGTATGATAGATCCCACAACTGACTGTAACATTTCACTTTCTCAAATTTGACAGAGCCTGCTGATAGACAATTACTTTTAACTAAGGGAATTGTCAGAGCCATCTTTGCATACTACAGGTTACCATGAGTGGCCAATTGGGGAGGGGGGTTAAAATGATAAACATGGTAGCTGAGACCCTGAGATAAAAGTCTTACTCTTACTTCTATTGTGTGATAACTGCCACTCTCTTGCCTTTCTTGACACTCCCCTTGTGACCTATCATATGTAAACATGGCTTCCATGTTTCCACCCTGGTTAAGAGTAATTGTCTACCAGCAGCTTTTTTTCTACCCTCCAAACAAATAAATATGCTTCCAATTTTGCCAAGAAATAAAAATGATATTGGCCATATTCTTTAAAGAAAAACAAATTTGACAACACCCATATCCTCAGACACCTCTGTAGGTCATAGCTGGCAATGTGGGCCTTTAATGAGCCACAATGATTACAAGGTTATTCCTAGGCTATCCAAATTCTTCGTTCTTTGTAAGCTATACTATCAGTTCCATCACTCATCATTCTGCAGATACCTGAAAGGAAGTGGTAACCCTTGCCCTGTCCTGCCCAATTTGGTTGCCTTGCAGGGATGGGAATATAGCCCTGTTTCACACCAGGCTGAACTTGTAACTTCCCTTCCTTTACTCATTTTTTTTTTTACTCCAGATTACTCCTCAGAGGATGATTTGACATGTCTGGAATAAATCAAGAAATGACTCAAAGTTCATTGAAATGGGCTTAGATCATTCCTGCCACATAAAACAACAGCAAAATTATTACCTTCACTTTGGCAGAGTCCGGACTAAGGGATCTGTCCCAGAAAGACTGCAGGAAGTCCACAGTCAAATGAGTTTCCACAGTTGTTTGTACAGCCCAGAATTTCTGAAAGATTTCATCACTATAACTTTCAAAACCTGAGTCAAAGAAAGTCTGTCCGTTTTCTGTGTACACTTGGTACCTGAACCTGATGTCATCTGAAGATGCTACCATACAACTGATATTGTTTACGATACTCATTTGTTGCATGATCCAGGGCAAGGAGGCCTGCATTTTCTGCTTCAAACGGGCTGCAGATGGAGAATTTGCAGGCTCAGAAAGATCTACCCCTACAGAAATATCTATGTCACAATCTGTAAAAAGGAGGAAAAATATGCAATTATAAAACAATCTTCCCATTAGAACTGAGAATAGGAGCAAAATAGTAAAAATTAAAAATGGATGCTGTAGTCAGAACATCTGGGTATTCTTCAATTAATATAATCTGGCTGGAAGGAATAGTCCCTTGAGTTATTGTTACTGGCTGAGAATATGGGATATTACAGCTGTCTGCCCATGGCAAAAATGCTGAGGACCTAGTTTAGCCTACTTCTAATGGTGTCATAACAAAAGGATTGGTGTTAGTTCAGTTGGAATGATACAGAAAACAAATCAAGAGTTTCCAAAGTAGTGCTGTAGATCGCAATAGAGACAGCAAGCAGCAGAATATTTTAGCCCCAGTAATAATCCTACAGGTATCAGCAATTATAGTGAGATTTTCCAGCAATCAAGCAACTCTAGACCATGGCATGGATCAAAGCAAGCTGCGTGTTTGTTTGCTTTCCTCATTTGAAGGAGATTCTTTATTAAGGGAAACATACAGTCAATTCTCATTATTTGAGATAGTTGTGTCCTGTAAAGCCACCATGAACCCTGAATTAGTGAATATTGAACCTCAGGTGGGAATGTGCGCGTCGGGCAACTCAGATTTTTTGTCACTCTGTGCAAGTCCACAAATGACTGAAAAAGCAGCATGAGTATTGATTTTGGGGGTTACAAATAAATTTTAGCGAGTAGGTGAATTCACAAATATGGAATCTGTGGATAATGAGGATCAACTATATTTATGTTTCTTAATAAAAACTACTTAGGACAAAGCACTATGATGAAAAATTATGCTACTATTTTTTCTTTAGAGTTTTTCTGAAGATGTAGAAGCATCTCTCTCCTCCCCCCCCCCCCTT